ATATTTATGGCAGATGTGAGTGAAAACTTTGTACTTGTATGCTTCTTAGTTATTACTGCTAGTTTTGAAAAATCTGGAGTATATTTCTATTAGTCTTAATACATAGTAATTTGATTCCCTTGGCTTATTTATATAGTAAATAACATTTGCAAAGTTAATTTTTAATAAAATGTTGAAATGTTTCTATGGTCTGTAATTTTAGCTAAAAAATAACTACCATGAAAACAGTAACCCATATGTCCCAAGCACTCTTCTAAGAGCCAGAAAGAGTTCTAAAATACCACCTCTGCACTTATAAAGTTTACAATCTTACTTTATACCATATTTATTTCTATTTTGATAGTTCTGATTTATTCTTTTATTCTTTAATATATTGTTTTATATTACTTTTCAAAGGATGAGCTTTAATATTTATAATTTTTTTATTTTCTGTTACCTATATCATTAATATATGCATTTGTTTCTTTCTTATTTTCATCTTATTGGGGCTACTTTTAGTCTAACTTATTGGCTTGAGTGCCTGCTTTTTTAAAAAAAAAAAAAATCATTTAAATTGGTCTGACCATAATTAGACTAAGGTTGATTGAGGTAGCATCTAGAGGGTGTTAAATTTTATGCTTGGTGTCTTTTTTTTTTTTCATAGCCAGACCCTATCTATAGATACAGGTAGATATGGACATAGGTGATGATAGAGATGTAGAACAGATAAATCAGAACTCTGAGAGATGAGAAACTTCAACCTCCATAAAAGAATAAACAAGGGAAGAAAGTAGACTTATTCTGTTTTGAGGTCTTTCTTTGAACATTACAAATAATTTAGCTCCTTCTAGTGCCTCCTTTTCTTTATTTAGGGGTCCCTGAGTTCCGGGTCGAGTTGTTAAAATGAGCAGGTTATGAGATGTTGAGTGAGGAGCCCACACGCCTGTCCTCCTGGGGTCCCGCACTGTCATCTGAGCAGGAGCAGGCCTCTGTCACGCTGAAGACCTGCCTGCTACTCTTGGGTTTCAGAATCCTGGTAGAGGAGCGCGTTACTTTAAGCAGCAGACACGTGAGTCTCCAGATGCAGCCAAACATGAAATCGGCCCGGGTGGATAACCTGAGCAGCGACAAAAGAAATCATCTCCTTCCAAGCTGGGCTAGGAATTTGTGTTCGTGCATTATGCCAAGTTCGAGGAGGGCAAGTATGGTTGCTTAAAAGTTACAGGAAACAAACAAATAGAAAGCAAAGGAATCCAGATCTTTCCAGCTGTAGACAAATGCTCTATTTCTGGATGCCAGGTTTGATTTATTTAAACACATTTCAATGAATTGAAGGTTGGAGTTGAGAGTGTGTCGTGACACATTCCTGTCTTACCAGAATAGGGGGGAGGATATTGCTGATCGGGGAGCTAAAGCACCTTTTCCACACACGCAGTCGGCCTTTGGCACTTTTGTTACAGGCACGTTGCCTGCCAGCTCCTCCACCCTCCGCTGGGTGAGGCTCCGCTGCTGCCTGGATGGGGACCTGCATTCATGGGGGTGTAAGGTTTTACTCAGGGGAGGAGACAACCCCATCTAGCGAAGCTAAAATTGAAATCTGACCATGAGGGAGGTCTTGTGTTGGTCTTGCCATTACTATCTATGTGTTCATATCATATGTTAAATTTTATGTATTTCCTTTTCCACTTCTCAGATATGCTTTATATCAGTGCTTTTCTCTGATGCATTAAGATTTTATTGCAATTTTCAAATTTTTTTTTTAAATTGGAAATCTTCAGAGAGAAATGTTTTGTACCACTAGTTTGTTCTTACTACCAGATGAGTTTGATGGGGGCTGGGGGAGAGATGGTTCTGTAGATGTGAAGTTAGAACGTATTCTTGAAAGTTTAGATTCTCATCTAAACTGATTCATATAAACAAATAGTCTAACGAAGAAAATGTGAATTCACTTAAGTATTTTTATTTTGATGTTACCAACAATTATTTCATAATTCGTAAGAATGTGTGCGTGTTGTATCTCTTGGTGTGTGTGTGTGTGTGTGTGTGTGTATGTTTGGTGTATTATTAATGATATTTCTTAACTATTTTAGATGTTGTACATTAATTTGATTTAGCAAATTCTGGAAGCCATATTCATATAGTTCTTATTTAAATCTAGACACATAAAGTCATTTTTATTAATTTTCTCATGTCACAGTTTTCCACACTCACTCATTATGTCTAAAACCCAGAGCTTCTAGAGGTAAATTGCTTTTTAGGAAAATATTAGCTAAACATCTATAGTCTATTTTAGTTCAAAAATCTTTTGAGCTGGAAATGTGCATGTGCCTGGGACAAATGAAATTAAAATTAAATTCTCTGTCAAGGAAAATATAAAATTTGAAATCACAAATGACTCATTCCTAATGGCTATTTGCATCACTATTATCAATGATGTTTTAGAAGGTTTACACACATTCAAAATGTTTAGTATCTTTTGATATTAACAAATGAAGGGAACACTTTGGACAATCAGGCGTTGGGGTATTTTTTACATTCATTAATATGTGATTGAAATTTATTTAATAAGCATCCCTGAATGACTAAAATAATTTAAATGCTGCTACTTTAGAAAGGTAGAAGGCATGCTGCAGAGGGCTCGGGGTTATGAGTCTACAGTATTGGTCACACAAACTAGTTATCCACTAATTGGTTATGTTACCCTTATAAAATCCTTAATAGGGCTAAGCTATATTAGGGTCAGTTTCCACATGCATAGGTTTTGGTGTTTAGAATGATCTATTTAAAATTCATTTCAAAAGTTGTATTGCTGTAATAAATGACAGTTGTTATTGCTAATTCTTCTATTATTATTAATATTGTCAACACATTCATGTTAAAACAGTTGAGAAGTACACCTGGCAGGCAACATGCACTACTCCTGTTGGATCAGAAAAGGATACATTCAGGCAAACATTGTTTTAAACCTGGTATGGCCTGGTGCTAAGCGTGAACAGGAGATTTCAATAACAGCTTCTTCCACTCTTTTCCTGAGGATTCTATTAACAGTCACAGAGAGAAGATGTATTCACCATAGATCTTTAAAATGCACATTAAGAAGATAGACAAGAATAACTGAAAAGCAGTCAAAATGTATGCCTATGCAAAGGAGAAATGCAAAGCCACGTGATAGTTTTTAGTATTAAAGAGTCCATTTGGAAGAGATTAATGGTTCGCCATTACTGTGTCTCATTTGGCTCTGTTTTTTTGACTAAGTTTTTACTTTTAGAAAATGAAATGATATTCTGAATTTCATCTTAAGAATATTCACAAAGGACACAGTCATTAATGAAAACAGGCAAGGCAATTCACAAAGGTAGACTCACCTCATACCCTCTGTCTGGTGCTATGCGCCGAAAATGGCATTCTTCAGTTTCCCAAAATGAGAAAATCATCCTTTTATTAATTAATTTGTATCTCTAATTTTTTTTAATTCAGTAAACACAAAACTTGAAATACTTGTTAACACAAGTGACTTAAGATGGAAATTCTTTGCACCATTTACATTTTAGTAACATTTATACAGAAATCCCCCCAAACACCCTTGCTGTGTAATGCCAAGGTAGTTCTAGCCTCTCCACTCACCTTAAAAATGAACATTTGTGGTAGCACCTCAGATAAATTGGCTTCTAGTCCACATCTGGCCTTGGGTTTTTTCTTTGTGTGTTCCTTGCCCCTCTGTTTGCTGCCCCTGAGAGTTTGCCCCTCTATGCTTTGTCAGTGCCCTTGAACTTGCTCCAGATCACCTGGTACAGTGGAGAAAGAAACGGGCCAGTAATCATTCTAATTTCAACCCTTACCCACCAGTGCCCTTTCTTCAGAGCCCCCAATCTCTGCCTCAAAGAGATGTCCTATTATAAGTTTTACTTAGTGAATTGCTAATCCCACTCAGCCTATTAAAAATGGCTGGAAGTTTTTGCATGCGATATTATGTTGAAATAACATGAAAAATTATGTTTTGTTTCTCAATTAGTCAAAGTAAAATTGTTTCTTGGAAAATGGTTTATTCTCCGTTTGATACCACCATGGGTATCACCAGGAATATGGCAGCACTTTCGTTCCAGAGAGGAGGACTCCTGTAAGGAAGAGGCAGAAGGGAAAGCTGGAGGCGCTGGTCAGAAGCCACAGGAGGTGGTGACAGGGAAAAAGAGTCCATGACGAGCGAGGCACATGGAATAAGTGACAGTGATGATTGAGACACCAGCTAAATCTGGTTTGTAAGGATTTTCTGATGAGAGTCTGTGACCCTTCAGCAACCTACTAGGAAGACCATTTTCTGATCTTCAACCTTGGCATAGCCCTGAATTCTTGAGTCACTGACTCAGTCCACATTAGCTGCAGTGCCACTCTCTGCTAAAGACGTTCCTCTCCATCAGAATCAGGAAAAACAGGACGTAAGGCAGGGAACTACCTCTGTTTCTCTTGCTAGAGTGGGATGTGCTTATCTGTTTCTCTTCCTAGAGTGGGATGTGCTTATCTGTTTCTCTTGCTAGAGTGGGATGTGCTTATCTGTTTGTCTTGCTAGAGTGGGATGTGCTTTGGCCTCCCCATATGGAGAGAGAGCACCCCACTTGGAATGCGTAAAGATTTTTCCGTGGAAACAATACTGACACAGGGAAAGGGGGTCCTTACTCCATGGGTTTGGAAAGCTACTCTATGTTCAATATGTATTAGGTTGGCTTTTATGGATTTGCCTCAGAAGCTAACCACATTTCCGACACTCCTTCTCTAGGAAAAGGCCAAGTTCAGGGCAATGAGTTAGTAAGTCAACTAGCGGAACATGGTGTATTTATATGGAACTGGAGAGAGTCTCTTCACTGTGTGTGTGTAGGGGAAGGCATGAGCCTCACCAACAGCATTCCTCAGCCAAACCTCGGAAGCCAGAATTCCAGCAGAGCTTCAGGATTATGATGTTGTCCTTCAGGAAAAAAAAAAAAAAAAAAAAAAAAAAACCTCATTTTATTTTAGGTGTATTATGCTTCTATAGATAACAAGTTAAACTAAGTATTTTTTCTGTTTCACATACAAAACCTAACTGGTGGGTTTGCTTTTTGATGCTTCATTACTTGAGTCTACTAAGTGGATAAGGGCATGTAAAGTTCATTTCCAGCCCACAGTTCTTTAAGCATTTATTTCCTTGTCAGTGTTACTATGTCAGCAAGTATGTGTGGGTGGTAAGGAAGGCCCTGGGAATACTAACCATTTACCGATTAAATAGGAAGCTGCAAAAAAATAGTGTAAATAAGGAAAGGAGCCATCAGCTAATCCCAACATTCTAGGTTAAAAAAATCAAAGGTTTGTAAGTAAAAACATGACAGCATTGCATATATTTTTGACCAGATTTCTCACAACCTTGAGATAAACATTGCCCACAGCGAGAGTTAATGGTAGTGAATGCCTTATATTTTAATGTGCTTTAATCTGGTGTGTTGTCCTCAGTGAAAGGAATAAAAAGGCTAGGTTATCAAGAGAGGAAACACAGGCCCTTACGTCTAGCTGCCTTTTACATGAATAGTTGCAAGCAGCATCTTGAGTTCTTGGACTCTGAGGAGTGCATTGTTTGTTGTCTTTGGCATACAGAAACGGGTCAACCAGTCTCCAAACAGGGATTCTTAAAAACCGGAGCAAGAGATGTATCCACTAAAGGGGAATGCGGATGTTTTTGCAAGCAGGTTCCTCCACTCCCTCCTGGTGTATCCCCCACAGCCCTGGTAACATTGTGACCTGTTTTCTAGTAAGCGTAACTTTTAAAGTAGACTATGATTTATAAAATCACCTTGCCAGGTGAAGGTTTAAGATGGTTGAAACAGGATCCTTTGATCTTAATGAAATCCTTAATGGTAAAGCCAACTTAATGATGTGTTTCTGTTAGAGTGTTTTTCTGCATTCATTCATATTTTCTGAAAAAAGCAGAACAATATGGGAAGTATATTAATCATGTTACTGCTCTGGCTGGAATAATTTATTAAACAGTATCATGGTTTCCTGGCAGATTTACTAAGCCTCTTCAATTACTTAACTCTTGTAGAATAATTTACATACTGGCAGAGCAGATTAAAAAATAAAACACATGAATGAAGTCATTAATTAAGACTATTTCAGAAGCACCTGGATGAAGATAATATTTTCATCTCCTCAATTCATCATGAAAGACTGTTTTCTATGTATCAACCTGTTTTTTAAAAAACGCCTCTACACATTATTGTTTCACTAAATCTTTTGCATAATCAATACTCTTGATCAATGGCAAAGATTTATTAATTAATAAATTAATTTTAAGTAAGTAAATATTTTAACATTACTATGCCTGTTTGTGGTATCAGTGTTTAATTCCAATTTGCTGATAAGTCAGAGAGCAGTCAAAATTGTCTGCTTTTTTTTAATTAGTGGCTGCTATTCCCTTTTAGCATTTTGCCTCTTTCTCTGAATATTCTAAGCACAACTTGTATATACTGCCCACAGAGATACCCATAGATCAATCTCTCAAAAGTGCATTTGAACAAAGGGCTTAAAAACTCAGATAATGAAATTGCAGGCTTTCCTATTGATATAAAAGAGATATTCTTTTTGCTTAAACCTAATAGTCAATGGATTATGAAATTTCATACCATTAAATGTACCACCTGGAAAAAAAAGTTGATAATGTATGATGCATGCTCAGAAATAATTCTATACAGCATATATATTGGTCACAGTAGCTTTTGGAAACTTTGAAATGTATTGAATATATTCCAAGTGAGTTCTCTTGTTCTTTTTTTTTTCCTTCCCTACATGGCTTTCGGCTGATAAGCAACCAGTTTGTGCCTATCCCAGTTGCCAAATATAGCACAACTTGATCTCCTTCCATTCTTAGAAACAAAGAAGCCCTTTGTTTTTGCCTTTCAAGATGATAAAGGGAATTGTAGTCATTCCTCCAGTGGCTAATACCCGCCAGCAGATCCTGAAAGATGCCGTTGATTTCTAGATGTATCCTGATTTCAAGGTTGGTAAGTTAGGAGAAAATGTGTTTCCTAGAATAGATAAAATACAGTATATGGTGGTAGATTCCATTCCTAAAACTGTCTAATTTGCCTACTCAAAAGAATGAACCGCCCAGCATTCCCATCCAAGTATAGTTATGAATCCTAAAACTATATATATATATTTGTGAAATATTCGCCAAGAGATGGGGAAGTGGAGGCATGGGTATGATATGGAAGCTATGTCTTTATTACTGATTTTCTTCTATTAAAATTTTCATTAATTAGGCCAGATGGGATGGCTCAAGTCTGTAATCCCAATATTTCAGCAGGCCAAAGCAGGAGGATCATGTGAGGCCAGGAATTCAAGACCAGCCTGAGCAACATAGTGAGACCCCTTCTCCATAAAAAATACAATAAAAAATTAGCTGCGTGCAGTGGTGTGAGCCTGTAGTCCCAGCTACTTGGGAGGCTAAGGAGGGAGGATCGCTCGAGCCCAGGAATTTGAGGCTGTAGTAAGATGTGATTACACCACTTCATCTAGCTTGGGCAACAGAGCAGGACCCAGTCTCTTAAAAAAAATCAATAATTAGTTATTAATATATTTCATTTATTTCATTTTTACTAATAAATTATATATTTGTAAATAAACAAATATATGTTCTCAGTTCAAACCAATTGATAAAGAAGACAAGCATATGTAAAATAAAATCAGAATCGTGCAAAACAATACATTAAAACTGCTTAATTTCATACATTGTGACGTATGAATATCACAAGATGACGATTATTGCCACCTTATAGGCTGCAGTTTGAAATGTAATTTTTAAAGAACAGTTTGCAGCAGTTTCTTCTTTATCTTTCTTTCTTTCTTTTTTTTTTTTTTTTTTTTTTTTGACTGTTTCGCTCTTGTTGCCCAGACTGGAGTGCAATGGTACAATCTCGGCTCACTGAAACCTCCGCCTTCCGGGTTCAAGCGATTCTCCTGCCTCAACCTCCTGAGTAGCTGGTACTACAGTCGGGTGTTACCACACCAGGCTAATTTTTGTATTTTTAGTAGAGACGGGGTTTCACCATGTTGGCCAGGCGGATCTCAAACTCCCGACCTCAGGTGATCTGCCGGCCTCAGCCTCCCAAAGTGCTGGTATTACAGGGGTGAGCCATCACGCCTGGCCTAAAATTTTGAACATGCTCTTAGCAAGGGACCAATGGTCCAACAAATAAACTGAAAAATGGAAAGTACTGGCGTGGCTATCTAAGGGTAGCTTTTCTTTTTACATTACATTTCATTCAAAACTATTAAAATAAGGACATATTTTATAAATTACTAAACATATGCATTTATGGAAACAGCCATATCCACCAAGACACCATATGAACAAATACATAGCCTTTTATATGTTTGCTGCTAATATGTAACCCCTCTAGATGTTTATACCCACTCACCTAAAATTAAAAAGAAAAAAAACATACTGTTTTTCTCATTATGTTTTTCTGATAAAAATTTTATCTCACATGGTGTCCCTAAAATTTCAACTTCTTTAAAATTCAATGCAGTTTTCTTCAAAAGTGTGGCTACCCAACATAAACAACCTCTACCCACATTCCATTTGAAGTGCTGAAAACTGAAAAGTATATGGACTTTGGTGCCTGGCAGAACTGGGTCCTCATTCCAGCAACGATCCTGATTCCCATACATTTTCTACTCTGTAAAATAAAGGAAATAATATAAGGGAATAACACAGGAATAATTGTGCTGTTTCTCTGAGCTGAGATGCTACACAGAGATCACGGTGCAGGGCTTTTTTGTTGTTGTTGTTGTTTTTGAGACAGAGTCTGGCTCTGTTGCCCAGGCTAGAGCGCAGTGGCATGATCTCTGCTCACTGCAACCTCCGCCTCCTGTGTTCAAGAGATTCTCGTGCCTCAGCCTCCCGAGTAGCTGGGGCAACAGGCGCTCGCCATCACGCCTGGCTATTTTTGTATTTTTAATGGAGACAGGGTTTCACCATGTTGACCAGGATGGGTCTCGATCTCCTGACCTCGTGATCTGCTCGCCTCGGCCTCCCAAATTGTTGGGATTACAGCCGTGAGCCACCGCGCCCAGCCATGGTTTTAAGATACAGTCAAATTGTGTTATACCCCCTCAACCATAGTTATATGCCGTAATGAGAAAAGCATCCTAAAACTGTATACAAACATGTAATTTGCCATAACATTTATGCAAATTAAAAACTGAATATAAATATCTGAAGCCAAAAGACATTTGTAAACTGAAAAGGAACAAGAGTCAAAAAGGATGAGACAGAGAAGGAGTAGGAAAAGACGAATTACTATAAAGAGATAAGGAAGAGAGGGTGGAAGGCGGGGGGAAGGCAGGGCGAGGAATGAACCAGTCCTTTTCCATAACTTGTAGTTATTGATGAAATATTAGTTACTGTTTTGGGTTATTATTTCATCTTTGTTTATTGATTTGCTCTTTCAGTTATCATTGTCCATCCTAATTTCATTCATCCATGAAATGCTATTGTTATTTTAATGCTATTGTTATTAAAATGTATAGAATGTCTATTACGTTTCATGTACTGAGCTATTCACCGGTAATGTCTCATTCTAACATGAAACAAACTCAGTGAGTTAGGCTTAATTATTTTTATTCTACAGATGAAATGGCCGAGGCTGAAATTTACTGGCCTAATTAAAACCAGTGCCTTGAGAACACACACTTGTTTATTAATATGGATAGGGACCAGCCTTATGAACCATAATATTTCCTTTCAAAAATAGGCAATACATAGAAGGTAATTTCATGCCAACAACATAATTTGAAAACAAAAAGCAAAAGCACCATAAATGTTAATATGTATGTTTAATGAACATTTTGGAGAAAGTGAATGTACTGATAGGTATGAAGGATGAGCAACTTTGGGAGGAGAGAATCCAAATTCCCTGGGTGTCCACATGCTAGCTGCAAGAAACCTCAGCCTATCCCTTCATATCTTCAACTTAAAATGTTCTTATATATAAATTAGAATTAATATCAAATCATAAATTTGTTAGGAATAAAGTAAGATAATGTATATAGTGTAAAATCAAATTGTCATTACAATTGTTTTGGTTATGACTTCTAAAATGATAACTATTATTTATAACTGTTATAATTAGGTAAAAATTTGAAAATGTTTATAATAACATTGTTAATTCAAAAAAGTGATTGTTATAGAACCATACTGTACATTTCCAACTAAAAAGAACTCTGCATAATGATAAAACGGTAAATAAAATGTTCTGTAAGTGGCACATTGCTAATGAATATTTTTTAAATAAATACTATTTGTTTAATAAAATGTACACAAATATAACGTCTCAAAAGAGATTATAAAATTATTTTGTCACCAATAGTTGATGACGCATGAACAAGATGTGGAAATTTATCAAAGTATTTCTCCAAATAATGCTAAATGACCTGGATCCTGAAAACATACTCAACATGACATATTTTGAAAAAGAACCAGTATTTAGTATGAATCTGCTACGAATTTGGAGGACCAGTGCACAGAATTATCTCCTAGGACAGAGTACAAAATTGCTCCCCAAAATGCCAAGATTATTTGGTCCTTACTCAAATGAATGTAAAACATTATTCTGAGCATTTTGATTGATTAAAATAGGAAAATGTGAACACTTTTATGTTTTTTCAACAAGAGAGATGCAGAAAGAAAATGGTATTTAACCTTGTGTCCTATCCTTTCTTTTTAGGATAGTAGACTAAATATTTGAGATGGGTGGAAGAGAGAGCCATTGTTTATGTATTTATTATTACATTTTATGTTCTACGGTACATGTGCACAACGTGCAGGTTTGTTACATATACATACATGTGCCATGTTAGTGTGCTGCACCCATTAACTAGTCATTTACATTAGATATTTCTCCTAATGCTATCTCTCCCCACTCCCCCACCCCATGACAGGCCCCAGTGTGTGATGTTCCCCTTTCTGTGTCCAAGTGTTCTCATTGTTCAATTCCCACCTATGAGTGAGAACATGCGGTGTTTGGTTTTCTGTTCTTGCGATAGCTTGCTGAGAATGATGGTTTCCAGCTGCATCCATGTCCCTACAAAGGACATGAACTCATCCTTTTTTATGGCTGCATAGTATTCCATGGTGTATATGTGCCACATTTTCTTAATCCAGTCTGTCATTGATGGACATTTGGGTTGGTTCCAAGTCTTTGCTATTGTGAATAGTGCCACAATAAACATACGTGTGCATGTGTCTTTATAGCAGCATGATTTATAATCCTTTACATTTGTTTCACCATGACAAAGTTTGTCTTGAGACTGGAAATTAGGGAGAAAACATTAATAGTGGATTTTGTAAAAGACTAAATGTCAGCACCAAGGAAAAAGGGAAATCAAAAGTAACACGAGTAAGTCTAAGTGTGTTTGCTACATTCAAAGGATGTTAATATCATGGACATTACTTTAGCAAGATTCTGATTTTAATTACGGAAGAGTGGATAGTTGTGAAGATTCTACTTTTATTTTGAATATAGGTTTCAACAGATGATCAAAAAGAAGATAGATATTTCTTGGTCAGTCACACATATATTCACTTTTACATTTTTGACACAAAAATATACTGCTGACCCTTCCCATAATATATACCCAAAAGTAATGAAGTATCTATGAAAAATATACCGTAAATATTTAATTCAGTAGGCCCTGATGCAACCCATATAAGGAGAGAAAATCCAGGAAAATGCCCTATAACAAATTCTAGAATGTTGTATTGATTGCATTATAGCCTTATAAACCTTCTCTTCCTACCAAACATCTAAGATTTAGTTCTTATTCTTAGTAAAGCCAGTTATTTGTGTGTGTGTATATATATATTATGTATGTAATATATATATATACACACATAGAGACACAAAGATAGAGACAGATTTTTTTTATGTAAAAGTGATTTAAAATTTTCAAATGGCAGCAACTCAAATGCTCATAGGATTTACTCTGTTAGAAATCAAATAAATTCATAAGTTTTCCTTGTGCCACAGAGATGTAATAGACATCAGATCATATCATGTTAGAATGACCACATCATTCAAGAGGCAAGTACATGACTGAGGGTCACACAAACAACCTTGCCAGAAATTATATAATGAGAGTGCCATGGAGGCCAGGCCTAGATCTTTTCAAATTAAATTAAATATCTGCTTCATATGGGCAAAAATGTTAATCGATTTGTATGTTTCTTCCTAAAAATGAAAGTAGTACATCCCTTTGCTTTTTGTGTCATTAAAACATAAAAATAATTTAAGATAATGTTTTGTCACTTTTGAAATCAAAAGCCTTTTAAAAGTGTTTTGCATTATACTTATCAAACAATTTTAAAAATGTATATGTTTTCAATAATACATTTTAATCTCATGCTGTCTTGAAAACTACCACATCCCACAATGAATTTGGACTTTATTTTAAAGAAAATAATTGTTTTATTGCAGCTTGTCAGGACGTACAAGGACCGACATTTAGCAGCGCGAGGTTTAAAGTCCCTTTGTAACTGTATTAAGTTCTATAGCTTAGACATTCTAGGGTATTTATGTATGTCTCTCTCATTAAAGGCCATTAAATGTGGCACATTTCTTCCGTAAGATTACAATCTACTTGGAGATGAAAAAGTACACATGTAACACAAAATAAGAAGCATTACAGTTTTGCACATCAAAAATGGCAAAACTGTAAACTCACAGAATGTCTAAATGTTGAAGTTATGGTATTTATTCCCATTTTATTGGTTTGGGGTCAGAAAATGTGTTCAATTTCAAATACGTTCAAAATAGAAAATCATGTGACTTTTATTAGCAATTTCATTTGATTCATTTGATTATCAGCTTAAGAAACAACAGCCTAAATGGTGATTCCTCATTTCACCTATCTTAGTGGTTCTGCTTTGGACATTTTGATAAAAAATCAACTGTTTTTTATGTTGCTTTCAAAAATTAAATTGGTAGATATAATGAAAACAAAAATAATAATACCTGAGCATTTCTCCATTTATTCTCAGCTAGGATGTGGAGCACATGTAACGGCAGCCTCATCAATATCAGCTTCACGGATGCCATGTTGAGGTGGCTGCATCTGTCATTCTGTGTCATGTCACTTTGCATGGTGCCTTATAATGAATGCTGACATTAGGTAGCAGACTGCCCTCATACCTATGAAAGCAAATTTCAGATGAAAGCAGGTGGCTGCTGCTTTGCTGCAGTAACTACCGTGGCAAATAAAATATTTAAATCTAATTGTGGAAAAGAATATTATATTGCTAAAATTGAACTGCATCTAGTAATGCCTGATATAAAAGATAAATGTTATTTGTTCTAACACATGCTTTCTCTTGAATCATGTGACAAAGTAGTAATCAGGCTAACTAAATTTGCTCTTTTTTTATATGGCACAAGGTATCAAAATAGAAAAGACATGACAACCACCCTCCATTGCTACCATCATTATTTAAAAATTGTTTTTCACAGGTATGGTAACACTGGTGCTTTTACATTTCTGTTCAGTGACACTGAAACTAAAATGATTTAACAGCCAATTCCTGTCACTTTGATGAAAGTGACAGTAGGTTTTTCTTTTTTGCCATTGATCAATCTGGATTCTTAAATTGTGGCAAAGAGTAGCCAATGCAGATGTTAGCAAAAGTTTTCAGATAAAATAACTACTTCAACAGAATACAGATTGAACAATTGCAGCTAAATAAGGCCAAATGTAGCTAAACTATTCCTACACTACGTTAAATTTCAGGCTAGGTCAGTGAATACTGAAAATAAAACCTAATTATTCTCAGT